TACAAAATATTTGTACGGTACTTTACAGTATAAATTTTCATAAAATTTTGTTTTAATTCATTTATTTACCGCAAGACGCGAAAAGCACTTTGGATTTTCCGAATAAACGGCTGTTTATATATACTACGCTTTTCTTTACTGTAATACGTTTTGTCAGAATTCAAACGAATTTTATGCGTCTCTGAAAATACAAGAGTTTCTTTTTGCCTCAAGAGTCGAGAAGGTGAAATCAGTGGTACGTGTCGGCGCGCCGTTCGCGAAAGACTGCGCTTGAAATGCGTTAAAAGGAAGCAGGTAAATACAGCAGCAGGCAGTCGCCTGTATATATATGCCAAGATATGCATATACAACCGAATTGCATTGGAGTCGCACGCTTTTAATGAGGTGCTTCATAACACGCGGCACTAATTATACGACGGACTTCAAATGCTTTTCTCTGCTTTTCTACTGTAAGAAAGCTTGATTAATTACCCCGTATCTTAATTAACCGTGCTGTCGATTCAGTAAAAATTATTTTGTACAAACAACGAGAATTATATAATCTGTGTATTATTTTGTAGGTAAGTTTCTGCAATAAAACTTGTTCACGATTTTTAAATTTTATTCTGTATAGATACAGAATAAAATAGATATATTGTATATATCAATCAAAAAATGATATATTAATCCCAAAATATATATTGGTTGGTCGTCTAATTTTCTAAGAATATTAAATATTATGCAAAGAGTAAGGAACAAGAGCGCGGGATATATTTATTTCAATACTTGTTACAATAACAATAGCTCGTTTTTATTATGATTATCATAATTAATTATATTTGTATTATGATTATCATAATTAATTATATTTGTATTATGATTATCATAATTAATTATATTTGTATTATGATTATCATAATTAATTATATTTGTATTATGATTATCATAATTAATTATATTTGTATTATGATTATCATAATTAATTATATTTGTATTATGATTATCATAATTAATTATATTTGTATTATGATTATCATAATTAATTATATTTTAGCAAAAGTTTAAGATGTTTGGGAAAACAAGTATAAGCCTACCAAGGTGTTGTCTTCTTTTCTAAATCTATACTCAATTCTCGACGACTGCCGGTTTCTGCGTTTCTTCAAGAGGTGGAACACTCTTTGGAGGATACTCCCCATCATACCAGTTTCCCTTCAAATCTAACGCGCGATTATAATCGATGATATTCGTCAGGCACTCTTCGATCGCCGCATCCACGTTCTCTGCGGTGATGAATGTGAGAGATTCCTCCTTAACCTTTCTAATGTGTTCGTCGATATAATTCCTCCGTTCCTCCTCCTGCTTCTCTTGCTGTAGCAATTTCTGCAGAATAGACTCCTTGCGTTTCTCTCTCATGTTCGCCAATCTATCTTCTCGTATTTTTGCCACCTCTGCATTCCATTCGTCATTTATCACACTGCATGCCTGGAAATCCTCCTTTTCAGCTTGCTCGATAACCGTGTGGTCATATTGCACCTCATTCTCCTTTGCAACTTGTACCAAATATGCTCTGAAATACATTACCTGTTAATTTAAAACTAGTACTAAAACAAGATCTATATTCAGACTTTTAAATGTTTTATTAGCCAAAGATCCAAAAATATAATAAGAGAAATAATCTCAGAATTATTAAGTCACATTATGCATATATATATATATATATGTGTGTGTGTGTACATATATATTTATTTTTTTTAATGAATTTGCGCGTGTACATATATGTAATGCAGGCAGAGTGAACTGTCTTTCGCATGACGGACAAAACTGCATGTTATTAACAATCGCTGTCATGAATAATCGAACGTCTAATACGTCATTTTGATTAAATTTCATTGGCGGCGTTATGAAATTGCGTTTCGTAAACATTGAATTAAATAGCAACATTACTATTATGACATTACGTAGTAATGCCCTTACCGTATAATAATGCCTGCTGCGTGCAATTTATAATGCAAAATTTCTCGTTTACCGCGCCTGCTTTGTAGTTTGTTGACCCGTGCAGTGGCGCTCATTCTCGCAATATTCGAAGAATAAAATGCAAAATTGCACTCGTTACCTCGCGTCAACCTCGATCAACATCTTTGCGTTTCTAAACGTTGCTAGATAATTTCTCATTAATTTTATTCTCTATCTCGTGCGTTCCTTTAATATCGACACGTATTCAATTTAATATCTTGCTCGAGAGACAAACGATAACAAAATATGAGAGAGAACGAAGTAATATAGAAATCAAATTAAAGTACTAATTGAAGTGGTATAAAAATTTATGAAACCAAGAAAGAGAAGAAGGAATTTTTGGTTCGCGAGTAGAGGATTTTTAAGAATACAATTGAAGTGATTCTAAAAATCCAAAAAATTTCCAAATCGGCCGAGACATAATTCCAATAACGAGCTTTTGTCCAGTTTCGATCGGAAGCTATAATACTAATATCGAGGCGAGAGAGACCGGTCTTTTTTAAGCCATACTAACTAATCATCGGTATTGTTATCTTTACTCCGCCGCCAGCGACGGCGGCGGCGGGAAAGTTGCGCCTCATATTTCGGGAAATTCGTTTCCAGCTTTTACCTGCGGAAGCCATTCCTCATCGTTCTCGAGGCCCGCCGAAACGAAATTCCGCTGTTTCGCCGTCGCACCGTCGATCATTCGATTTCGCGCTGCCGATATGTAAATAATAGACCCCCGGAGAAACATACGCGGCGTCGCGTCGTCCCGAATCGATGAGAATTCGCGATTGATTTGATATCGGCTTCCATTTATCGACATCGCCGATTGCAACCTCGCGATGAATCTGCATTATCGCTCTGGGTGTTGCATGTGTGTGCGTGTGTCATTCTTTTGCGTCTTCATTTTCTTATAAATGTTCGAAAACCGTGTCAGATGATACTGCATCGTGGTTAAAAATTTATCATTATATTTATTTGCATTTATGTAAAAGCGTGTCTTGTATTTTTATAGATTCAGACACACACACACATGTTGGTTTATAGTTTTATACATATATATTATATAATTCATGAATTAGCACAGAGAAAGAGAAAGAGAGAGATTTTAACACGGTACAATCGATCCAATATAAATAGGCAATCGCCGGTTATCGACGACTGCGCGAGGTGATCATACGTCGATTCGATTCTCTTTGAGCGTGGCTGACCAAACGCGGAGATTTCCACTTGAGACTTACTTTGCTCGCGCGTGAACTTCCAAGCCGGCGGAGACGCGACACCGGCAAAACGGAATATTGATGAATCCGTTAATAATCGCCCGCCGGTTATCGCTATTAGCGAGTATCGCACAAAGCGCGTCGTACTAATTAAAACGGATAATACAGCGGTTCGCGTAGAACGAGGCGGTAATTGGGCGTGGCCGCGGGGGTTCGTGCCCTATTATTATTAATTATCTCGTTAATAGGGCATCGCTCGAGTAGATCTTTCACTGAATGTGACTCTTCTTTGCAGCTTAGCACCCGACATTGATACACGAGATCAAAACATAGCGTTCATGTATTTAAATTATTCGCTTCTGGACAAATATAATTTATTTCTTCCCTTTTTTATTAAATGCGATTTCTTTTTACGCGCGTATGTATGTTTGCGACGCGTTACTAATATATAAAAAGAAAATCAGTAGGGCGGAGGGAAGGGGGCTCCCTAAATGTTCTACCTTTAAAAGTTCGATTTCCGCCGAATCCCTCGACAAACCCTTCGACGATTAACACCACGATTACCAACGCCATCGGCGTTATCGGCCGCGTTTATCAGCCGGCGCTACGTTTCCTGTGATCCCATTTTTAGAAGCGATGGCCTCCCACTTTCCTCTCTTTCCTTCGCGCTTACGATCGTACGTTTACGTGGGGGAAGTTTGTAGATTAGTTCGATCACGACGATCGTATGCTCGATGCGATTGAACGTTATCGTCGTCGCGATAGGAATTACATTCCGCGGTGGAAGGGAGAGGTGCCTCGAAGAGGCAGTCATCCCCTCCTTTTCCCTCGATACCGTCGCGATATAAACCGATGGCTCCGGTTCTCCTTCGTCGAGTAGAATCGACGAGTTGTCCCTTTTACGACGTGATATATTCGCGGAAATGGCCGCTCGACAAAGTTATATCGTAAAGTACGCAGTGCGTAGTCGGGGCGATTTCGTCCGGTTGAGTAATAAAGCCCCCGTCCAGATCCCAATCGCGGGTCATTCGGCAAGAAAAAGAATTGATTTGGTTCGTAAGTTTCGCGTTATTAACATCGGAAGTGGCTTTCGATGAGTCGCTACCGGCCGATGAATAGAAGAAATCGCGTCTCTTCCGGCGAAAGCACATCTCGAAGCCGGAGCTTACATACAGGATATTGTTGAAAAATATAGAGGTCGAATTTCCTCGTTACAAATTTGATTTCGCGTAAAGCAATCAAATTATGTCGAGATTTTAATAAGGTAGAAGAGACACGTGAATTTATAAAGGATAGTTTCAGATCCGGGGGTGCTTTTGAATTCCGCATTTGGCAGTCAAATGTAAAGTAGCAGCTACGAAAAGTGGCTTTAATTTCAGCGATAGTTAATGAGGTATCAGACTTTTAATGAGTAATGTGAAGTTGTTCAAAGGTCGGGACAGTTTTGAAAACGTGTTCGACCAGAGTGCCTGCCAGGCAATCTCACGGTTTCTGAAAGACATCAAAGGAGATTCGTTTTGCGTACTGAACGAAATTGGCAATAACTCTTACAACATCGCTCGATGGAAAATGGAGAAAAAGTTGGAAAAGAAAAAAAGAGAGAAAGAGAGAGACTCGCGGAGATTTTATCTTCTCTTCATTTACTTAAGACGTACGCCGGGATGATTACATCCGCGATGACAACCCTCGCCGGCGGTTGTGTAATTTATTTACGCATTCTACGATAGCAATTCCTTTGACGCTTTACTTGTTTTTACTTTTCAAAGTAATTGCGCTCGGATTTTCTTTGCGTTGTAATATAGAGGATGCTAATAGTGTTTTTCATTTTTACTTTTCTAAGATTGTGTTTACGAACGTGCTTTCAAGACGAATTTTATTTTTTAAGACAAATATTTTTTTTGAATAAATTATATACCTTTCGTGAAAGCGAGAATCAATTCAAATTTATTTCCATCCATGAACAAGTACGTTTCTAATCCAACAATTTGCTATTTTCGAATATAATGAACAGCCGAGCATTTTCTACGAAACAAAATCGAAAATAGCTTTCGGCTAAAGGCGCGTTGCAACACTTGTAAAATATTCCATTCTTCATTTCGACGAGAAAGATTGCTTGTGTCAGAAAAGAAGTCAAAATAAAAGCGTAAAGACGTACATCTTCGCGCGACGAAATCCTCCGTGGATTTCAGCAATTTTTACATGGGTTTTTTCTATTTTTGGATTTCTCTCTTTTTATTTATTTATTGTTAGTTTCACGCGCGAACCTCAAAGCGTGTTTGTTTCATGCAGCGGCGGCGGTCGGAATGGAAAGACGCGTATTGTTTTTCCACGATTGTATTTTTACATCGCCCTCTTGCCTGTGCGCGTTATAACGTCCATCGCATGTCCGTTTAGTATCCGCGTACATTATAGAATAACGGACCCTTTGTATGAAATCCATCCGCTTTTCCTTCCTCGCACACAGAACACGGTCTTCTTTTGACGTGTTTCTCCTTTTTTCCCTTCGTTTCGTGGCACCGCGTTTAACCGTGCTTCGTCATGGAAATAAAAAGTATCACACCGGCAGTTTTATATCTGACGTATGTATGCATGAAATGCTCCAAAAATGCGTGTAACTGGCCAGATTTTTTTAAAGTAAATTAAAAATGTTCATTTTTTTTTATTTCAGAAACCGTAATTTAGAATTTCCGTCGTGAGATTTTTTTAAAAATTCTCTGTCTCGATGATGAGAGCGGTTGAGTTTTTAAGGGAGAATTTTCTTTGAATTTTTCGTAATCGATTTATTATCTAAAGCTTTGATATATTCTTGAACATTTAATATATTATTGTATTATTGATTTTTTTATAATTGCGAAAATCAAAAAAGAATTTTAATATCACGCCAATCAACCGACAATGGCAAACTAATTTTCTTAAATTTGAGAAGCCGTTTCCGTACGTATGCAAACGGACATCGGAAGCGAGTAAATAAACCATTTGGAAAGATGGTTACTATCATCTGTATAGGGAAAGGAAGCCCCTTGGAAACCGTCTAGTCAGCCGATACTTAAATCTCTTCGTATCACCGTCTACGATCAGCCGGCGCTATCTCGCATTAATGGTCGCTACGTGTTCCTGAATAAATCGGCCCACTAAACAGTTTTTAGGCTGCTATTATTAACCGGCGAGGGAACGCGGATTACATTCCGAAGTTCTTTCGAGAGTAAGAATTTTAGGCGCTGTCGAGATGCGATTTCAATACTGCAAGTAAGAGCGAGCGAGGTAATTCGTTTTGGGAAATTGCGTCGCAACAAGAAAAAAATACAGTCCCTCGTAATAAATTTTGAAAATCTATTCTGAAATGTACTCTGTATTGAATTTAACTGATTGTACTGTCCACGAGAGTACGCTTATATTCTTACAACTATATTAATTTAATGAAAATCCTACAGTAAGCTCCTGATATAATGGAAAGACCATCTGATTAATCAATCGGGAAGCGTACTCACGACAATGCGTATTATGCGTTAGAGATGCTTTTTCTCCTTCTCTCTCTCGAAAATAAATTCGATAATAAGCAATGTAGGCCATTGGCCTTAGTTGGTTGTCGTTGGTAATCGAACGAAAAGATTTTAGAGAGAGAGAGAGAGAGAGAGAGAGAGAGAGAGATGACGGATACCGGAGATCCATTGAAGTGACACGTCTTTTGTGATTTTCTCATTACTGGAGTGGAAAGGTCGATCCTGGAAGCCCATCTAGCTGCCGGAGCGACTTCCGTCCTTTCGCTCTTCGCTCTGATCCTTTTCCTTTTTCTCTCCATCTCTCTCGTCATTCGTCCCAGGCGCGAGCGTGCGCCTTAATGCTTTACAGATAACTTGGCACTGTCTATGTGAAAGACTGCCTATGTGCCTACGTGGTCGTGTAAGTGGAATTACTTCTTTCATGCCGTCTTGTACGATATGTAATCCGCGTGGCCGCGGGATCTCCTCCGCGTCTAACTTCCGATTGGCTATCCGATCGGAAAATTATATTTCCTCGTGCAATCGCCTGTAAGTCAACTCTTATCGATCCCTCATTCCCGGCTATTAGCTGTCCATTGTGTTCCCTATACCTGTCTCCGTACAGTCCGCTAAATGGTTCCGTTGCCTCTTTTTCCACGCGCTACATTGGTTTCGCGTGAGAGGCGAAGTCGGAAATGGGAAATTCTAAGCCGCAAAGGCGGTCCAATCGGGAGACTTGATACTTAATTCTTGCTCGTTCTGCCGATCGGTTTCGTAAGAATCTGCGAAAGATTGAAGAGCGAAAGAAAGATTGCGTAATCAAAATTATCCACGCAAATAATATCTTGATAATTTAGAATCTAAAAAATTACTTGGCATTTGAGATTATTGAATCGTGCTGTCATTCGACATTCCGGAAATTTTTCTATTTCGCACTTTACTTCAATGAAAAATGTGAAATATTTAATCCATATACTTAATTCGCATAAAAATATAAAAGTAATAATTCTGGATTAATTAGCTAATATTTTTATATCTTACAAAATATGAATAGTTTTAAAAAATATATGAATATTCTAATCTTTATTTTATATAAAAGAAGAGATAATAAAATATACAATTAGAAATAAATTTGTCCAATTCTCTGTCATAAAAATAAATTGCTCTCTTCTTTTATTAAAAGAGCAGTTGGACACTCGTGAGGGAAACTCGGACATTTTGAATAATGCTGAAATAATATATTTGTTTGAAAATGTGTAACCTTTGAAATGGAATGAAAATACTATCTTTTATGAGTGAATAAAGAGAAACCTAAATATGTACATGAATTCCAGTTCTGCATACACGAAAATGATAACATAAGTATCATGGAAAACTACTTTTGATATTCTTCACAAAATTATATTCAATTTTATTCGTTGTAATAAAACATCTCACAATAATTTTATCAGCATTTTTGAGATCGCGCTTTTCACAACATTACTAAATTATAAAAGCATCGAGCTTTCTTTTATATATCGAGATGTCGTAAAAAATTCTATTCTATATTTTATATAATAAAAATTTAGACTACATTTAAAAAGCCGTCGAACATTTTTGGTATCACGAGGAAAACGCGGCGTGAATCGCTTATCAAGCCGACGACTGCGAGAATAGTCGTACCTAACGCGAAACAAGTTTGCATCGAGTCGACGTCTTTCGCGTGACGTCAATTTGCGCCCTCGCGAAAGCGCCAAGTCGTTACGCGGCATTGTTCGCGCATTGTTGCCATCGCATGCGCCGACATTCTTCCTAGTGTCCATTGTCGAGCACAATCCGGGCGAGTTTCCTTTGTGGGCGAAAGGGAGGAGAGTGTCGAAAGAGCTTTTGCGAGGCGGAAGAGTCGCGACAGCCCCACAGCTGATCCGGCCCGTCCGTTCCTCGACCGACATCAATTAGTATCACAAGGCGCCCGTAACTATGTACACATTCTCCTGCGAACGGACACATTTGACGGAAACACGCATTAACCCCCTTCGCGCGTAAATATTCGCAATTTCTGCGCGAGAAGATAGGTCGACTGTAGATTGACGACAATTTTCAGCATTAAATAACTCTTTAAGTATGTCGGAAATTAAAATACTCTGTTAAAGTCCGCTTGGAATTAAACGAGTTGGAAGTTTTGATGAAATACAGTCTTAATGGAAGAATACGAAATAGAGTCTGTTATCTATTTGCACCGTTTGCGCAGCTCAATTAACTGAAACACTCTTATTTCTTCTCGATTTACGCAGCGATATAGTACCTCGAATGGTTCGGCGTAACATTTTCACGAATCTATCTTAGGCGCATTCAATACATATCGCACGCACTCACACGCACTCATGCGTCACGTAAAATCTATCGCGCGTATATTTACCTACACATCGATGCAAGCGACGGATTTGATCCTACATAAGTATTCACGCAACACGCACACTTTTGCGTGTTTGATTACATACGTATGGATTGCTCACGCGCGTCCACGCTGGGTTGCGTAAATACGCGTAAACACCGACGGGACACTTTCGTTGATTCCATCGACGTCCCCTTCTTGGAGACCCCGTTATTATCATCCATTTGCTGATACAACAAGATAAATTGCTCTCTCCCCGTCACCTGACCTGACAGGTCTTTACCCTAAAACGCTCGTTCAGATCCGCTCGGGAACGCTTCGAAGGACCAAGTATCGAGTTTCGTCTATAAGAAGAAAATGCTGTAATAAAAAATGTTATATTGATTGAAATCTAATAGGACGTTATATTCTCTCTTTAATACGCGGCAGATGGAATTCTCGTAAAGTCGCGCGCAGAAGACGGAATCAATTTCGCAAGAGGGTGGAGGGCAAGAAACGCAAAGTTTCTCTCTCTTAAAAAAATTATCTCGTGCGCAGCACGCGCGTTAATTAATTCTAACGACACGCTGTAGCGTGTAAAAAGAATCCCGAGTCAATCAAGATTAGCATTAACGAACGTCGTTACATGCAAAAAGGTATCGATCGGCGACATCGGTCGATATCTCTTTGCTATCGGCACGCAACGCGTATAATTAAAAATTCCCGTCTCGTTTTGCTCGCTGCGTTTTCGAAATATAACCGCAGTGCGTAGTTCCGCTCTCCTTATCGATTGCGCCTTCAGGAGCGTGTTCGGAGAAAAGAAAAAAGCGGTCAATCGTCAAACTTGCGTGTCGAGAGCGGTAAAACCGCTATCGATCCGTCCACGGTATTTATGTAAACATGCCCGAGTCCGGCGGGATTTCTTTCCATCCGGCGCACCTCCTTCATCGGCGCGTTATCGCGGATTTTTTTTTCTTCTTTTTTATTTCGTTACCGCATTTATCATTCTTTACGATATTCGCGAGGTTTCGCTCTTTTATTAGTTTTTGAAATTTCCCTGCAGTTATCTTTATATACGCGAGCTCGTAAACTTATTTAATGCACACTTACTGTTGCGCCCACGCAATGCCTGTGGAAAAAAGAAGAAACTTTTGTAATTACACGAATATTATTTTAAAAAAACTTTACGATGTTTCGTTTCCCCGCTCGCGAAAATGAGATAAGTCTCGCGTAATTTTTTGCGCGATGCAGAATTCTAATTGATTGAAATTGATTGAAATGACGTGACGCAGAAATAAGTCTCTTGAACGAGATGACGACGCGTGCGGGGCAAATTTTCGTCGGCAAACGGGAAATTAGGCTGTCTATTACGATGCGATTCGAGCGAACCGTAGATACGCCATACGTGTGATTCGGTCGATAGGTTCGCTTGTCGACGTGTTAATCTGGCTATTAGGTGGCGCGAGACCGAGATATCTCGCGAATTCAGAACGTGTATACCAGATTGCACGATCGAGATAGCTCGCCGGGTGCATCGCATCGTCGATATTTGCCCCGAGTTTGCGCTTTTACTCCGCGAATTAATTCGCGGCTAGGGAGAAACGATTTACGTGTGCATAAACGTTCCAACGGGTCCGTAATAGAGATACTCGCGATGAAAAGCAAGAGTTGACAAGAAGTCTATGGAGAATAAAAATTCCATTAGTTTACGCTCGATAATTCTCCGTCAAACGTAATTGGATCTACCGTCGTGATGCCGCTTTGTTTCCGCCTCGCGCACAAAATGAAACTACAATATCGCTATGAAGTGATCAGAACTATAACTCGATAACTGTCATTAATCAAGTCGAGCGGGAATGTTATTGTCGTTGTCGATGAACAATCGCGAATTTGTCCGCAAAATCGCGCGTGCCGTTCGAGGCGCCGCATAATTTCGGGAGAGCGGAATTTTGGATCGATAAAGCAGAAAGGATAGAATTAACGCCGCAAATAAAGAAAGTAAATGGAAGCACTGTTCTAGAATACTCTCGGTAAATATATCGTTATAACTCGCGACTATATGCAATCAGCCTGAAACCGTCGACATCGTTTACACAATGCAAAACGACTTGTAAAGACGCTAAGTTGTGTATGTAATAATATCGAACACTACTTTAGTACGCCAGTTAAACTGTCCAGTGATAATATAATAATTGATGCTTCTATTTTTTATGATTTTTATATACATCTAAATATTAAATATAATATAATATATAATATAAAAATTTTTTTGGATACTTATCTTTCATATATTTGATAGCACATTGTGATTTGTATTATTTAGACAGCTCAAATCGATCGCTTTGATTTTCACAAAAGTACTAACCCCCTTCGCTTTTTTTTTTTTGATTCCAGGTGAGTGTCCAGGAATTCCAGTACGCACGCGGGACGGGCGCGTCCCTGACGATGGTAAGCCATAAAGCAATGTATACCGTCGTTTTATCAGTGCGTTATTATCCAAAAGGCTCTTTCCCAGGACGATGTAGCTCGTGAAGATATGGGAAGAGGTCCTAATATCTCGCAGGCACACATCCGTCTTAATTAACGTCGCGATACATCTCGACTTCCGCCTGTGTTGCCACTCGCAGCATTCGGTTTAATATGCAGCCGGTTTTACCCCTAATAATTTCGTTGTAGGACTAAAATTACCGCGGAGAATTTAGCTCATTTCCATCTGCATTAATTATTGTTTTATGATGGAAGTATCTTTTGGAAACCGTAAAAAATTATAAACGAGGATATATATAGCGCTTATTCTTATTTTATTCTACTGAAAGCATTAATTATACATATATATAAAATTTTTGTCATATTTGTGCTTTGATTATTCTTAGAATTTTGAACTTGCAATTACCACGCAATTCGTGGCATTAATTATCGCGAAATATTGTCGAATGCATATTTTATAGGATCTGCAACTCGCGCATTCCGGTTGTGCGCGATATACGTTTCGTAATTTAGTAAATGTGATGTGGATTCGGTCGTTCAGCTCTATAGCACACATTAAATATAAATGGCGATTCCGTCGGGACGTATAATCACACGCGAATCAATCATTTCAGCGCGATAATAAATATTGGCGTCGATGTTTTACGTATTGAAAACAACGGTTGGCCAATGCCAATATTTTCCATCGCTCGTATATAGTCCGTACATTAAGCTGATCTAATGCGTCAATGTAACGTGACTGCGGCTCCAATGCATTCATATCCGCTGATGTTACGATGCTTTTATTAAGTACATCTCCCCCAACATGTTAACACGACGAATTTGTCACTCGCGTATCCCGTAATTTTCGTGAAACGCGCAAGATTCTGCGGCGTTAATCAAACACGGCGGCTTAATTAATTAAACTTTTACGGAAACAACCGTGTCGCAAGAGACGGCTGGCATATCTGTTTCCGTTTCGCATCGTCCAAAGATGGTCGTTGAATGAAAAATAAAATGAGAGACCGTTTCCCGTGTTAGCGTCTCTTTCTATGCATTTTCAAGAGTGCAATTTCGGTTATTGCGAGTGGATTTCCTGAACGAGTCTGGATAAGATCTTCTCTTAGCATACTTTTTTTAATATTCTGCGAAATATCTTACGACGAAAAGATGAAGCTTGAATTCTGTAGAAAATCGTTGAAATGTCGCGCGAGAGCTGTGAACGATATGCAAATTCCTATGGCGAAACGAAATTCGCACGTGCCGTAATATCGACGATTACAACCGAGGGTTGTCCTCGGAAGAGAGATCGATCCGCTATTCGATCGCCTCCGTCCGCGGTCTTTACCGTCGAGTTCCGGTCGTCTTTAGCGGTGTGAAATAAGAGACGTCCCGCAGGCGACAGTGACGAATGTGTTTGTATATCGTCAGCCTGGTCGTCGGGGGTGTCACACGGAGGACGCGTAAGGCACGAAATAGTGGCGCGAGGGGGTTGAAACGACGGGTTTGAAGCACGCTGGTTATGACACACACGTCAAACAAGGGAATCCACGTTAATATCGAGAGGGAGAGACGGGATTAGGTTTTTCTGCGACGCGCGTGGATTTAATTTTTTATTTTTTCTACCCCTATACGCGACACTTTAAAGGTTCAGTCATTGTAGACCGATCTCTTTTTTCCCCTTTTACTATTTATGTATTCGGAATACTTTACCGCGTTTAAATATTGCCATAAACCTTCGTGAAATGCTTCTGCATGATTATGCAGAGCAAACGAACTGAAAAAGAAATAGGATACATCGCTTTTATTTCTATTACGATAGAATGTATTATTAATCACATCGATTATAGGGTATTTTGACGCGCGTGCTACCGTGAAAGATTTCACTCGATTTTTTACACTATTGACACATTTTACTTGAATCAATTTCTCTCTCGTGTGTCACGGACGCCGATTTAAAAAGAAAACTGTAATTAATCAAGTTAAAAAAAAGTATAGCAGAAAAATGAAGAAAGAATCGATGGATAAATTAAAATGCATTAGATCAGTTCTACGCTTTTTACTTTTCATATTCGAAGCTTTTAGTAGAACCTTTAAAATTCATATCGTCCCAGACGGTTTCATATTTTTGCCCGTATCGTTGCCTACACGGTACATTACGCAATAGGCTTAACGATCGCGATTGTTTCAAAATAGCGCAGCTCCGCGACTCACGACATCGTGACACGTCGGCTTATCTTTATTCCGCGCGTAAAACCTTGCCGGGGTAAGCGCGGGTCTTATCACAGCCGTGCGCCGTGCGTGCCTCCGGGTATCGTTAGAGCGCAACATTCTCCCGGCACACTGACGAACAAAGCTGACCATTAGCATTTGTTCCCTCATTACGGGATTCAGCGCTCTTTCTCCCCATCTCATTACCGGAAGTTCTCCTTCGTGTTTCGCGAATATCTTCGGGCGTTTTCATCTTTGCCGCGACATGTTGCTCAGTTTTTACTTCGTTTGGCCGATATTATTTTTGTCGTTTTTATTTCTTGAATCCTTACTTACTATTAAGAGAAACTTTTATTTTCTTACTCAATCTTATATTAAAAAAAAAGAAAAAAGATTAACAGAACTCAATAGCGATGGCAATGTTACAAATTTTAGTGCATATTACAAATGAAGATTTAACGCTTCAAATGCAGGGTACAGCAATAGTAATTACTCGCTGATATGAATCATTAATAATGTTGATTAAAATTCGAATCAGGCCGTAGGATAATCTGAATTAACGATTCCAGTTGACAGCGACACGTTCGCACAATATCCTGACGGAATATTCCCGAAATTCATATCTGATCGCGAGAAGAGTGCGCTCATCTTCGGGCCATTTCCTGCGCGAGAACGCTTCTTCGCAAAGTGTTTCCTCTGTGAAGCCGAGTCCCTCCTTCCCCCGGGACTTTCGCCTTTGTGTCGCGAGCTTACGTTGTTCGTCGGGACATCAAAGCGGAGCGGTTTCTCGCCCTCGCGATTTCCTGACCGGCGAATTTCCAAGGATGTGACATACCCGAACACCGTTCCTTCGAGCGAATCTCCGACTTGACACTTAGGGCCCTTTAACCGACTCGTTACTTTTACGCGATTATAAACAGCTTCCGTTAATTATAACTTTGTTTTATTTTATAAGTATAATGTGCAGCATTTACGTAAATTCGGAAGCAAATCAAATATTATCATTATGCACAGATCCTTTGAAAAATTCTAATTTTCTTTAAATTTTACTAATTCTTAGTTTAATAATCTTGAAGTTTCCCTTTTCTACGAAAAAAATATTTAAATTAAATATGTTGAGGTTGTATTCTTTTATTTTAATTTTTGCATTTATTCGTGCCAAGATCGCGCATCTCCTAAGTTTGCCGTCTCCGTCGCGAAATAACGCGGAGGCAGAACGCATGATGGATTACTCCCACTCGTATGCCGGCTGCCGCCGCCATTGAGCGGCTCAGCCGGCGAATATGTCACTACGTCGCGAAAATAGATTCCGCGCGATTCACCGCACGGAAATACCATTCGTACGTCGGCATCGGAAGCGCATTGGGAGCACCGGAAGTGGGAGGGAAGGACGAAAGCGGGAGATCGGTAACCGTCGCCTTGGAACTTTCGATGGTGAAGATCGATGTAGAATACTCGCCGACGTAGAGTAAGCCTGGAAATCAATATTAGAATACTAGTCCTTAGGTTACTTGTAGTTTAAAAAATTCAATCTTGCACATTTTTAAAACGTATAAAATTTTTCAAAAGAAGCTAAAAATCAATTCCGGAATAATTCAGATAATAATTAAGATTCTAAGATTGTGCGGCTGGGATATGCTTGTAATATCAAGAATTCGGAAAGATCGCATTTTTTTTTTTTTTTTTTTTTTTTTTTTAAACGTTTTTGTATCGGTCGAATTCTATCAATCTATTGAAATTTTATCCTATCAATCTGTGAAATTTATCCACCAATGTATTAGAATTTAGCGAAAGATTGGAATTTTGTTGACGCAAAAATATTATTTTTCTTAGCGTGTGTATTTTTCTTCCTCCTCGAAATTTAAACGGTTATTAAATACACATAGCAGTCATTAACCTAGGTCGTTGACCGGATCAACGGATGGATAACAGTTTTACAGGCAGAATTAAATTAAATTAAATTAATTAAGTGAATGCATTTTTATCAAATTCAAGAGACTTTCAAGATAGCGATCTTCTTGCCTTGAATAATATCGCGCGGCTTGGTTGCTGTACGATTTTCCCAAAACAAAGGCTACTTGTAATCGCTACTTGTCGAGTGCGTTCTCGCAGCCGCGTCCTGATAACAATAATGACATGATAATTATACCGCGAGCCAGACAAGCGCGTCTGTTTCGGCGTCAGATTCGACTTAATGAGAACGAAATTAAAAGACGATTCACGTGTAATCAAAGTGAGACGAGAGAAAGGCATATAATAATCGCGATCATAATTGGAAAAATAATATACGATCTACATACAGTGAAGCTATTATACTTGCGGCGCGCAAGAGGTAAGATCGCGATGTCGAGGTTTCACCGGGCGTATCGTTGCATCACGCGCTTTTCCAGCCGCCTTGCTTTTTAATTAGGAATAATTTTTCCCCAACGAAATGCGTTATCTCGAAAATTATTTCAATCCTCCGAGAGGAAGTCGTATGTATGTATGTGCTACTGCGTTTATAAGAGACGCGTCGCAGAGGCGATAATTTTGCATTCTCGATTTTTTTTGTGTCGAAACGTCTTCAAATATTTAACGAGAGATTTAACTCTGAATCTGGTTTTCGCATTGACGTTTCGAACGGTATCTCGTATATGTGCGTACGTGTCGCTCCGAATCTCCTTCGTGTCTCAGTCAGTCGAGGGGTGTGACTCGATCTTTCGAGCGGCACGACTCAATTACCATCTCTGTGACGCGTGAAAATAGCTCGCCCCTTCCACTCTCTTTCCACC